TTGCAAAAAATGCATAATCTCACTCTAATCATGATGAAACAACAAACCCCAACAGAGGGATGATCTACAAAATAAGTGGTCATGAAGGACAAAGACTGATTACAGAGACTACAGAGACATGACAACTAAATGTATTGTGGAATTCTGGTTAGATCCCACACCAGAAGAAGTACATTAGTAGGGAAATTGCTGGAATTTGAATTATTTGCAGATTAGTTTATGATGTCAATGTTAATTTCCTAATTTTTGAAGTATTTTCTGTAAGTCTATACATATTTCAAAATAAAAGGTTTTTAAAGCTAAGGAAAAAAAGTGGTTCCAGCTGGGCGCTGTGGCTCACACCTGTAATCCCAGCACTTCGGGAGGGTGAGGCAGGCAGATCACGAAATCAGGAGTTCGAAACCAGCCTGACCAACATGGTGAAACCCTATCTCTACTAAAAATACAAAAATTAGCTGGGCGTGGTGGTGCACACCTGTAATCCCAGCTACTCAGGAGGCTGAGGCAGGAGAATCACTTGAATCTGGGAGGCAGAGGTTGCAGTGAGCTGAGATCGCGCCACTGCACTCCAGCCTAGGCAACAGAGTGAGACTCCATCTCAAAAGAAAAAACAAACAAACAAACAAACAAAAAAACTGGTTCCATAAGGTGAAAACATTGCCATGTGGTACATTTCTGAAGGGAGTGGCCATATGGAAGAGCTTACTGTTACTGGATTTAAGTTCTACAGATATTACTGTATAAATTATGTAGGAAGAATGTTGGACACTAGAAAAGAAATCAGAACAATATTTTGCTTAAAACATCATAAAATATAACCTATTTGTTTAGCAGATTTGGGAAAAATAGAAATAATAATGTGCTACTTGTGCTTTTTCTATTTTCAGAGCCATAACCTTCAAGCCAGTAAAGTAGTCACTGAATGCACACTATGTACTCAGATTTGAGCTTGGTCCTAATAAGTCCACAAAATTTTATTGGACATATCTTTAGTACCACAAATGAGAGGTGCAAATCCTTTTGGTCTCACCCCTTGGAGTTAATGCTTGCCTGGCCAGACTTAAGCAATAGGAGACAGATGTCAATAGATACATGTTTCTTCCTTTTGTTCCGCAGGCAAACAGTTCTGAGACACATTTAAAAGAAGATTCCATGAAGATTGAGTACCAGTCATCCAATTTAAGAACTCAATAATACATCACAGTATTCCCCACCCACCACCACCGCCATTCCCTGTTCAATTCTCCTGATCCCTCACGTTAGCACAACGGGATCACTACTAAGTAAACTTCTTGCTCATCAGCCTTTGTTCTAGACCAGGGGATGTCCAATATTTTGGCTTCCCTGGGCCACTTGGAAGAAGAATTGTCTTGGGCCACACATAAAATACACTAACACTACTGATAGCTGATAAGCCAAAAAATAAAAAAAAATTTTTTTTAAATCTCATAATGTTTTAAAAAAGTTTACGAATTTGTATTGGGGCACATTCAAAGTTGCCCTGGGTCTCATGGGGCTGGCAGGCCACAAGTTGTGCAAGCTTGTTCTGCTTTGGAGGATGGTAGGGGGTTGTAGGAAGTGGGAAGAGGGTGATAGAGACTCAAGCCAAGAAAAAGATACAAGCTTGCCCTTAAGAACAAGTTTCAGGACAACCTTGTCAAGGACAAATATGGAACAGATACCAATCAGTGGCAGTACATTATTAAGTTCACAAAATACTCATAAAAATGTCTGCAAATGACAATTCTATCCAGTGAACCATCTATACCAGATATAGGCCAATCATTACAGATAGAACAAGCAAAGATGGCATTCTTTGCCCATGAAGATTGCTCAGGAACCAAATCAGGTTGGGTTTACTTCATGCTACATGGAAAAAAAGGCTATCAAAAGACTTCATAAGCACTGCTCAAAAACTTCTTATACATATAAGCTCCTAAGGAAGTCCATCATTAGTCAACAACAAAGATGAAAAATGAAATCATTTTGACCTGGAACAGAAAAAGATGTATTTCAGATTTTTTTATATGAAAGACAAGTCCTACAATTTATTTTTTTAAGTGAGAGATTTCTCTTGTGGAATATCAGAGAGAAAATATTTGGTTCATTTATGCGAGGAACAAAAAAGCAGAGAAACCTAAAAAAAACACAATCAAAGCAAAAGTCTGATTTGTTAACAAAAATAAACTCAGCCCTATTGTTAATTTTTGACAAAACAGCTGCCTAACAACTTAAACCAACTGCAATCACATTATTTTATAATCTGCACACAAAACTTTTTGTTGCTTTTTTTTCTCCCCAGGTTTCCTTTATGACGTTTGCTCTTTTTTTTAAAAAAAAAATCTATTAGCCACTTAAGACAAAAAAAAAAAAGGAATTATGAAGTAAGACTACAGATAACCAGTGTCCAAGTTCCTTGCTACTCTTAAAAATCAGCTGGAAACAGTCAACCACTAAGCATAGTGTGTCTCAAATCTGCTTCAAGGAATCAGGCAAGGTTTTGAGGATAATTGTGAGGCAGGAGAATAGGGCCTGGAGGCAGGGAACCTAAGGACTTCCTAGAACTAAATCAAATGGAAACACTTCAGCTATGACAGGAAATATCCTCTTCATTTACACAGGGCATACACAGAGTAAATAACTTTGTAACTTCACTTTAGCCTATTCATTTACATAGGGCATACATCAAGTAACCAATGGAAGCATCTAGAGGGTATTTAAATCCCAGAAAATTCTGTAACTGGGCCCTTGAGCCGCTTGCTGAGGCTTGCTCCCAACCTGTGGAGTGTGGTATCATTTTCAGTAAATCTCTGCCTTTGTTGCTTCATTCTTTCCTTGCTTTGTGCATTTTGTCCAATTCTTTGTTCAAAACACCAAGAACCGAGACACCCTCAACCAGTAATAATTGGGCAAAAGGGCTTCTTCTCCTGGGATGAACGGCCCCTCCCAAGTATGGTAAACACACACACAAAGGATTTTAGTGTAAATGAAAAGGATAAAAACACTGTTTGACTCAGATGAGTTCACTTTCTTCACTTCCATATTTAATGCAACTGATAAAGATGACTTGAGTTTCTAAATCCCAAACCCATAAGGCATGTTTCCTCAATATGTCAAATCATGTTGTTTCCATTTATCTTTTACAGAGTTTCTCAAACTATGAGATGCAAGCTTAACATTTTCTAAAATGTTTTCTCAAATAGTAAACCCCACTTCAGTAAGGCCAGGAGCACCATATAATTCAAACAATGCACAAGTGTACCCAGCCAAAGAGGGAGTGAGGGCCAAGGAGGTTGGTCCCAGGAAAAATGCATGAATATAAATGTATTTGCAAACCTTCACAAAATTTCAGGGATCTTAGGTCCTATGAAGCCCAGATCACAGGTTCAGAACTCCCGACTCTATTGTTCAACCCAAATAAATAAGGTTTGTACTTTACTATACTGACTGAGAATTTGTTGCTGAGTCAGTCCTAACTTAGGCATAAAACTTGTTACAAACGTGCCCTTTTCAAGGTAAAAGAAATTTTATTTTTACCAGCTTAATAAACTGTATTGTCCTCTGCTGCATAACTTACATTTTTATCTAAATAAGATCTTCAGAGGATAGCTTCCAAGCATTTTCTCTGCAATTTGTCTTCTGCCCCATGAAAAGGTCACTCTCTTGCCTTTTATGACTAACATTATGGAAAGCATATCCAGAAGTCCCAACATTTATAATTTTGCAAATTTATTTTATAGCATTTTAAATTTTTACTAAAGTGAGTAGAATTTATCAATTGAAGCTATTGGTTATAATAGTTTAAATGAGTGAAATGACATAAGAACACACCCTAACACACACAGACTCAGCTGCCAAACCCAAGTAACTTAATAATCGATAGTAAAAGGGAGAGAAAAAGCATCACACTTCATTTCAGGATGCAGTTATAACCTTAAACTCAATTGTGTTTGTGACATCATCATCTCTGTACGTTAGTATAAAGAGGGCCCCAATATTTGAATGACCTTCAATAATAAAAGCTTTTTGTTAATCTTTTAATTTTCTAAAACACCGCTAAAGTCATAGTAAAAGGTTTTTTTAAGTATAAAACAACAATACAAAAAGAACAGAGGAGTAGGCCCAGCATGGTGGCTCATGCTTGTAATCCCAGCACATTGGGAGGCGGAGGCAGGTGGATCACTTGAGCTTGGAGGTTTGAGACTAGCCTGGGAAACATAGTGAGACACCATATCTACTAAAAATACAAAAAAAATAGCCAGGTGTGATGGTGCGTGCCTGTGATCCCAGCTACTCATATGAGATGGGAGGATTGCTTAAACCCGGGGGACGGAGGTTGCAGTGAGCCAAGACTGCACCACTGCAGCCTGGGTGACAGAGTGAGAAGCTGTCTCAAAAAAAAAAAAAACAAAAAAACAAAAAAACAAAAACAGAGGTGTACTTCTGTTTCAGGCAATTTAGTGGAGTGAATAATTTGAGAAAAACTCCTAGGACAGATGCCTAAAAGTTCTAGATAAAAAATTTTTAAATCTCCTTAAATTCACAGCTGGGCATTTGAGAATCTCCTCAAAGCTAAAAATGAAGCAAAAACTTGAATCCAGTGAGGTAGCCAAGTCCAAGAGCTAACAGCTACCACTGGAGCTTCTGCTGTCACTGATGGACTGGGTCTTTAGTTCATTGGTCTTTATGCAAACAGAGGCACTGGAGAAAAAGCCTAGCTCGAGAGAGGTCAGATGACACCCACCAGCAACTCCCTCAGTGGAACCAGGAACTAGCCCCCAGAGACGGAGATAGTAAAAAAAAAAAAAAAGTGCCTATTTCACCTTGGCTCTGGAAAAGAAAGAGAAAAAAAATTTCCTCCATGAGTTTCTATCCAGAAACTGGCCCTGTACACCAAGGCAAAATTTGTACAACCTTTAGGTGTGAAAAATCCCAAGGTGAGAATTTAAAACACCTCCAAGTGACTGGTAGAAATAAGTACAAATCCTAGAGGAACATACCTTGAAGCTTGGTCTCCAAAAATTTATACAGATGACATATCAAGTTAAGCTCAAAAACCTGTACACACAAGAGGAGACAAATTAACATGACTGACACTCAGCAGAACACCAACAACCATATCAGACTCACCGTGACTATATATACAGAAAGAGAGAACATAATTTCATTGAATATATTTAAATATAAAAAGATAGTACTTTGAGTATGGAGAGGCAGATTTCATCTATAGAGCATCTAGAAATTTAAAATATATCATTGAATTTAGAAACTCAATAGAGAGATGAAAGCTTAGGTATGGCTGAAGAAATAATAAACTTGAAGTTAGTTCTAAAGAAATTGTTTAAGATAAAGAGTAATAAAGAGATGAAAAATATAAAAGAAAAATTAATCAATATTGGGGACAGAGGGAGTACGTTTAACATATCTCTAATAGGAAATTAGTAGAGAATACAGGAATGAGGCAATATTCAAAGACATAATAGTGGAAAAATTTCCAAAACTGTTGAAAGTCAAAAATCTTCAGATTCAAGAATCCTGATGAATCCTAAAAAGACTGAATAAAAAAATTATACCTAGACACTACAGAACAACAAAAGACAGACTGCATATAAAATAGTTTAGGCCAGGCACAGTGGCCCACACCTGTAATCCCAGCACTATGGGAGGCCAAGATGGGCGGATCACGAGGTCAGGAGATCGAGACCATACTGGCTAACACGGTGAAACCCCATCTCTACTAAAAATACAAAAAAATTAGCTGGGCGTGGTGATGGGTGCCTGTAGTCCCAGCTACTCGGGAGGCTGAGACAGGAGAATGGCATGAACCCGGGAGGCAGAGCTTGCAGTGAGCCGAGACCGTGCCACTGCACTCCAGCCTGGGCGACAGAGCGAGACTCCATCTCAAAAAAAAAAAAAAAAAAAGTTAGTTTAATGACTGGCTTCAAAACTTCGAGGGTCTGCTCCAGAAAGAAGCAAAATGAGCCCAAAAGGAAGGTCCATGATTGAAGAACCAATGATGAGCATAATAAATGCAAAACATGTAGGAAAATCTAGACTAATATTGACTGCATAAGGCAACAACAATAGTAATACCTAAATTGTGGGGTTAAAATGTAGAGAATTAGGCTCAGCTGTGGTGGCTCACGCCTGTAATCCCAGCACTTTGGGAGGCTGAAGTCAGGAGGATCACTTGACGTCAGGAGTTTGAGAACCAGCCTGAGCAACATGGTGATATCCTGTCTCTACTAAAAATATATGCCTGTAATCCCTGCACTTTGGGAGGCCGAGACAGCAGGATCACCTGAGGTCAGGAGTTTGATACCAGTCTGGCCAACATGGTGAATCCCCGTCTCCACTAAAAGTACAAAATTTAGCGGGGTGTGATGGCGGGCACCTGCAATTCCAGCTACTCAGGAGGCTGAGGTGGGAGAATCGCTTGAACCCAGGAGATGGAGTTTGCAGTGAGCCGAGATAGCACCACTGCACTCCAGCCTGGGCAACGAGAGTGAAACTCTGTCTCAAAAAAAAAAAAATATATATATATACACAAAAATTAGCCAGGCGTGGTGTTGGGCACCTGTAATCCCAGCTACTCTGGAGGCTGAGGCAGGAGGATCACTTGAACCCAGGAGGCAGAGGTTGCAGTGAGCTGAGATCACACCACTGCACCCCACCCTGAGTGACAGAGCAAGACTCAGTCTCAAAACAAAACCAAAACAAATATACATATAATATATAAATTATAATATATAATTTTAAATTATATATTTTTAAACAAATATATATTTTATATAGAGAATTAAAATAAACAATAGCATGTAAATTAGGAGGTAGGCAAAAATAGTAATTAATATGCTTGTTAGAACTTTAGGAGAACCACAAAAAAATTAAAATGGCATCATTTTCAACAGGAGGGAAAATGGAATTCTAAAAAAAAATTTAATTAAAAAATTGGAAAAAAATTACCCATCAATTCAAAAGAGAAAAAATATGTATATAAAAAATAGGACAATTACAAAGCACAATGTAAGATGGTAGAAATGACTGCAAATGTATCAGTAACAAAATGTTAAAGGACTAAATTCTTCAGTAAGAGAAAATACATTTCATTGTAAGGCCCATGTCTAGCCACCTGTTTTGTAAATAAAGTGTTACTGTAATAAAGCAACACTCATTCATTTACACACTGACATGGTTATTTCTGTGATAAAACAGCCAAGTTGTGCTCTTCACCAACATCGTATTCTGGGTTTTCTCATCATAAATCATTGTGCCTATTTGTACAAGGAAGATCTGAACAAGCTTTTAATGTTCTGACTCAAGCCCATATGAATTGCTAGATGCCAACGGCTTACTACAATCTTTCTCTTTACTACTGGTAAAACCTTCTGCCCGTAGAAAGCCTGCAGGTTGTATAGTATGAGGCATCATCAAGTTTAACAGTGTCCCTCAAACTAAGTCTATAGTTCTGATGGTAGTCTTGAAGGTGTCCCATGCTATATACAACCTTTGTTGCTTGCTGGAAATACACATTTCTCACAAGTGGGCTTACCTCCTATGAAATCCTTTTGCTTAGCTTGTTGGTTATTTAGCAATAAAGGAGCTTAACTTATAGAGGATATGCTTTTGCAGGTAGTCCATGATTTTAGAATGCTTTGGCTACAATACAGGCTTTTGACCTCAGCAGGAAATCCAATTAAGACTGGCAGATTAAAAGAACTTTTAAGTGCTCTAATACTTCCTAAGGTGGTAGTTATTATCAAGGTTGAAACTCATCCCAAAAAGGGATAACACAAAGGCTAAACAAGGTGTTCTGGCTGGTCACTATGGAAGACAGGCATCTTTTGCTAAGACCCTAGCACTCATGAAACCCCAAAACCACAAAGGGCCTCTTTGTGTACCTCCAAATGGATTCATATAAGTACATCCTGCAATGAGTTTTTAATATGTCCTGTCCATTGTTTGCTTATTGTCAGGATAGACTGAAGCCTTTCCTTGCTAGGGAGCTATGGCTCTACAGTAGAAAAAATATCTAATGTCATATTGCCAACCTGTGGAATTCAAACATCTCTCTAGTGGCAGGGGCCTCAATTTTTCTAGGACTGTTATTAAAGAGCTTTGCAAAGCCCCTCCACTTAATCAGAAAGTTCCCTATCTATATTGCCCCAATATCCAAGAAAAGTAAAGAATAAATAAAACTCTGAATCTCAATTTTGCAAAGTTCCCAGAGACTCTCAAAGTTATATGGTCTAAGATATTCCCATAAGCTTCAATGAGTCCACTGGGGTCTATCAACTCTTGCTTTATAAGTAAATACAGGCCTGCCCAGGCATCTAGGAAAATTACATCTGATTCTAGACTCCACACACTACTGGCAAGCAGACAGGACCAAATGTTGCAAGGAACTCATGCTAAACATCCAGTCTTATCAATAGATAGGAGCAGCCTTTCCCCCAAATCCTCCCAAACAAATTTCATACAACCTGAAACCCAAAGACTTAGTCTTCTGAAAGAAATAACTTACTCATGAACTGGCTAAATAAAGCATACAATTAAACTGAGAGTTGGGATTATACACATTTTCCTTTTGGAGGAGCCACCCAGCTTCCATTGGTTCCATTTCCTTGTAATGAGATCAAATGATTTTCTGGGTAGAATACAAGGATAAATAGCCTATCAAAAAAAAAAAAAAAAAAAAAGCTCCTGTCTCCACCAAAACTATGCTTGGGATCTTTGAGACCTTTTGTGGGAGCTAGCTTTTGTATACAAACTTTCACAGAAAGCTTGAAAGAGAACTAGGAAACAGATTATGCATATTTGGAGACTACCTCACGTCACTCAATTTGACAAGTAAAACACACTACTTCTCTTTCACTTTACAACAACCTAATTAAGTCTTGACACCATAAATTTCATTGCCTGGAGCCAGACCACTCTTCATAAATGGCCCCAAATCATAGCAAAAGGATTTGACAATACCCATAGGAGTATTTTGACAAAAACCAGACGACTAAGTGGCCACCAGTGAGTGGATTTGTAACACAAAAACCTACTGGCTACTATCTGCAAATTGGACAGAGGCTTGTTATTTTGGTAAACTCCTAACTGACCTCAGGATAGTCCCTGTTATCACCCAAGATCTGTTTTGATTCATCAATTTACCCTCTTGGAAAAAGAGATATCTTCATGAAAGGAGAGAAAATGGGTCTTGGTTTAAGAATGGAAACCCTAATCACTCAAATTTTGGATTGCTTTCTGCTGTCTTCAAGCCTCTTCACTTTATAAGAGGCCTAGAGGTAGAGAAGCTCCTGCATGCTATGGTTCAGAATGAGAAAAGCAGGAAAGCTATAATAAACAATGCAACCACAACTATAGAACTCTTTGCCCAAGAAGTTCAGAAAATGGAACTCAAAAGGAGCCCATTAGTTATATTGGTGTCTTGAGAGAAAATGTGCTTTTAGGGGGAAATGGTGTGCTTAAAGCCCTGCAGATGTCTCTGCCATCTTTAACAATACTAAAGAGATCTGGTAAGCTAACCAAAAAATCATAAAATTAATTAACTTTATGATTTGACTAATAATCCCATACCTGGTACTGCATCTCATTATATAGGAGATAAAATCTGTTCTTCTAGCTTAATTTGGACACTCTTGACTCACGGCTTACAGGAAGACAACAAACTGATCATAATCCTTCTCTTGGTATATTTTAGTTACAGGGGCTCAGATGGTGTGTTCTCAAGTTTTAAATGCTGCCGTCCAACTGTTGTCTTACCACATGATTAAACAAATGATCATCCAACAAAAAGAACAGAAAAACCTAACACTTGAATGTTGAAACAACCATCTGGGAAATGATACATGATCATGAGACTATAAATAGCAGTGAATATCTAGACTGATCACATCCCCAGTAGTGAATCCATCAGCTCAGGCCAAAGAATGGCAATAAGGGGGTGAAAAAGAAAAACTGTTTCCTCTATATTCACATCACTTCTGACACCAAATGTATGGGAGCTTTCCACACCAAGCAATTCTCCATTTCTCCGTGGATACCAGCAGGGTGTCCTACAATTTAATTCTGACACTGACTATACAGAGACAGTGCAGACCCCACAGGTTAAGGGCTCATTCCCACAAGACTGCCCCTCTTTCCCCACTTCAAATGCCAATCAAAAGCCCAAGCCTCCCATATTTCTGACATCTATAAATCAGGGGTTCCTATGAACCCCTCCTAAGGTTCAGTAACTTACTAGAATGGTTCACTGAACTCAGGAAATGCTTATTACTTCTGGCTTATTATAAAGGATACAACTCAGGAACGGCCAGAAAAGAGATGCATAGGGTAGCAAGGAATGTGGGAAGGGATATAAGTTTCCATGTGCTCTCTAAGCATACCACCCTCCCTGTACCTTCACGTGTTCACCAACCCAGAAACTCCTAGAACCCCTTTATTAAGGGTTTTTATGGAGGTTCCATTACATAGGTATGATTAACTCAATCATTGGTCAGGGGGTAAGGTTCAAAGTTTCAGTCTTCTCATCACAAGGTTGATTCCCCTGGTAACCAGTCCCTATCCTAAAGCTATAATATTTAGGGGGCTTTCAGCACCACTCTTTTCATTAAAATATAAAAAGACACTCACTATTCACTCCGGAGATCTCAAGTTTCTGAGAAGCTCTTGTGTCAAGAACAAGGAGTAAGATTTAAAAAGATACTCCTATCACCCCATCACTAATGAAATTGCAAGAGTTTTAGGAACTCTGTGTCAGGAACTGGGGGGCTAAGACCAAATATATATTTCATATTATGTTATATGGGGATATACTAAGAACTGAAACCATCTGCACCCACACAGCTTACTGTCAATATCAACAACTGCCTTCATTCACATAGCATTAATATTCTAGGAAATTTACCCGGAAGGTAAATTTGCAAATAATTTTATTTGTTCAAGACATAGTCATAATCATTTACCTGAATACCAAACTACTGAACATATCATAATCATTTATCTGAACACTAAACTACTGATCTCACCTTCATCAAAGTATATACTCCTTTCTCAGAATATAGCATTGAATGTCTACTTCTCAAGATTCACTTCATTTTATTTTATTTTACTTTTGAGACCGAGTTTCACTCTTGTTGCCCAGGCTGGAGTGCAGTGGTGCGATTTCAGCTCACTGTATAACTTCCACCTCCTGGGTTCAAGGGATTCTCCAGCCTCAGCCTCCCAAGTAGGTAGGACTATAGGCGTATGCCACCACGTCTGGCTAATTTTTGTATTTTTAGTAGAGACCGGGTTTCACCATGTTGGCCAGGCTGGTCTTGAACTCCTGACCTCAGGTGATGTGCCCACCTTGGCTTCCCAAAGTATTGGGATTACAGGTGTGAGCTACTGTGCCCAGCCAAGATTCACTTTAAAATCCTATCCACAAATTTGTCCAATCATAAGCTCCCAAATGAAAAGACCCAACATAAGCCAGACCCTCAAGGAACCGAAAATATCCTGTCTTTGTTCTCCCTCTAAGATATTATCAAGATGCTGTCAATGTAGTGATCAATAGGATTATGTTGGTGTATTTCAGGAAGACAGGATTTTACAATATAGTAGGAAGTTTAAATTACAAGGTGCCATACAGAAAAGTCCCATGTAAGATTAGTGCAGCATAGCATAGAAGTTACTACACTAACGTTCTCCCAAAGTGTACTTTAAGAAATACTGATCTCTTAGGATATTTAAAGTTGTTGCTTTCAAAAGGGATTCTACATTCAAACAAACTTGATTAATACCAGGTTGAACAAAGGTAAACTGGTCTTATTGGTAACAGGTACTGTAAACATCCAACCGGAACATACTGTATTGACATATATGTGAAACTCATTTGACCATGAGCATCGTCCTCATAAATATCTTGTGGGATTAGTGTTCTACAGAAAATAATTTGAGAAACATTGAACTCTACTAAAGGCAATGATCCTAGGTTCAAGTCTTCATTCCAACACTTACTTGTGGTGTAACCTCACCCAAGTGTTTTAGTCTCTCAGTTTCCTTATCTGTAAAATAATAAAAATATTCATAATAAAAAATATGTGCTCTTCCCACCCACTAATTAAAGGTTGTTGTTAGAGTCACATGAGATAAAGAACAGGAAAACTCTTTGTAAACTCTAAAGCAACAAACACATGAATAAAACGGCTTTTTTTGTTTTGTTTTGTTTTGTTTTAGAGATGGAGTCTCGCTCTGTTGCCGAGGCTGGAGTACAGTGGTCTGGTCTTGGCTCACTTTAACCTCCACCTCCTGGCTTCAAGCGATTCTCCTGCCTCAACTTCCTCAGTAGCTGGGACCACAGGTACACACCACCATGCCCGGCTCATTTTTGTATTTTTAATAGAGATGGGGTTTCATCATGTTGCCTGGCTGGTCTGAAACTCCTGACCTCAAGTGATCCACCTGCCTCATCCTCCCAAAGTGCTGGGATTACAGGTGTATGCACTGAACAAAAGGTTTTTACAATATCTCACATTAGAGATAAGGGAAATCCATGGGTATCATGAGACAGTATTATTAGTGAAATAAAATAGAAAATATTCTATTAAAAGTTGTTTTTTGCGGCCAGGCGCGGTGGCTCATGCCTGTAATCCCAGTGCTTTGGGAGGCCAAGGTGGGCAGATCACGAGGTCAGGAGATCGAGACCATCCTGGCTAACATGGTGAAATCCCATCTCTACTAAAAATATAAAAACTTAGCCGGGCATGGTGGCCGGAGCCTGTAGTCCCAGCTACTCAGGAGGCTGAGGCAGGAGAATGGCGTGAACCCAGGAGGCGGAGCTTGCAGTGAGCTGAGATCTTGCCACTGCACTCCAGCCTGGGTGACAGAGTGAGACTGTCTCAAAAAAAAAAAAGTTGTTTTTTGCAAAGTTGGATAACTAGCATAATTGGGGCCTTCTTTGGTGGCTTAACTCAAGATCAGTGGTAAACAACAGAATGAAAAAATACATTCAGCAAAAAAGAATTTATTAAGATGACAGTGCCAAGACACTAGTATGATTCCTTTTGAATTTGGACACTTCTCCTTGCTATGATAAATTTTATATTGATGCTTCTGAAACAAAACAAAACAAAAACCTTCAGTAACCCAACTGACCTTCTTATTCCTTAGTGAGTGTCAAGCATCAGATTAAATCTGATCTCCCCATATGTACAGAAAGAAGTGTCACTGATGTAACCAAAATGCCAAGATAATCATCCACCTTGTGGGTCTATCTTTTCTTAACACAAAGAGTAATGAAATTACTACAGGCATGGGTGTCACAATAATACAAACTGTCACCTGATAGATCTCTTAAGTCAATAGCCCTTTTTGATCAAAAATGAGTTCTATTTAACAATGTGACTAAAGCATTTAACTTTACAGTTATATCATATAACATGGCTTCCAGTAACTCCACTCAAACAAAACTTTGTGGAGGAAGAAGAAATCTATTGATTGAGAGGAGACTCTAATACTTGCTTTCTATCTATCTGCCTTTACATGAGCTGTCTAATGAGGAAACTTCAGTTTACTCACCTCCCACTAGATGTAATGTTCCCAGACTTCAAAAGGTTATTAGATACAAGAAACTGTCAACTTCTAACTTTACTAAGGTCATTTTTAAAAATTACTATCATTTTTCATTTTAGATACACTAAGTAGTAGAAAGATGTAATCTCAGAATAAAGGGCTGCTCTAAAGATTAATAAAAATATACCACAATGTCCTATTTTTGTGGACTATAATTTCTTTGGAAACTCATATCCAAGATGAGAATAAGTAACAGATCATTTTATGCAGTTTGTATGTACTCAGCTAAAAATCAGCCTGAAAACTGGGATCATTTAACAACCGGAATTTACATATTAACATTGAATGTAACTAAAACTGTTTATATGCAATATATTACTAAAAGTTACCAAGCAATTTGGCTCCTCCACCAATAAGGTGTCAAAGCATGCACTGACAAGAAGCTTGAAAATCACACCCAAAAAATAAATAAATAAATAAATAAATAAATAAATAAATAAAAGGAATCACATTCTTGACAGGTTTGCAAAATAATACTTTAAAAAATGGTTCCAGTTATAGTGCAAGTTACAGACTATTAAGCAGTAGGGTTATTCAACCGGAATCCACCTTTATGAACATTAGACTAAGAAACATTTGCAACAACATAAACATATCTCATCCTTTCCTTCCTCCTCCTCAAAGGAAACAAAATGGCAAAATAATTCCTCTTTACCACCGTCAAACTTAAATTGTCCCCATTCTCAGTAGACAACTAAAGTAACTGTCTAAAACGATTTATTAAGAATTTGCTCACTAAACATAAAATCCAAATATAAAAGTTACATTAAACAAGCCAAACAAGGCTCTTTTAGACTCAGCCTGCTTTCACACGAAACAGCTATATTTGAACCCAATACATACTATTTTTAAGTTCCAGGATTTCAACTCTGATGCTTACAGAGCATAACATTGGTGTAATGAATTATGAGCTATAATAAAAAATAGATCCCTGAAAGGAAAACTGTACTCATTTCACCTTTCATTACCCAGTGTGTTTGTTGTGTCTGATTTGGCCCAGGAATTACTTTCGGCCACATACATGTACTCTTTGTTCCCTCTGACCTTGGAATGTCACAGTGAGAGAAGTAAACCATAGGCTTGAAATGAGCATTCTCAGATAATGAAATACACATGGAATGAGCTGGGTGAAGTTAAATCAAGACACCATTGTTCACAAAGTCCAGAGAGGTAACAGCCACGCTCATAATTTCGACGAAAAGTCTTACTCAAAATGGTTAGGCAGTAAGAAAAATTATCTCAAGTAAGACGTCCAGAGGTAAGGGGTGTTACGTGAGGACTTTCCCTTTGCTTTTCTGAGAGTCTCTTGGCTATGCCATCCTGTTTATTGGCTTCATCCTCAGGCTTTGAGATGACCTCAAAATTCTGTGCATCACTTTAAGATAATGTCAAACTCCAGAAGAGAGAGAACTATCTATTTTCTGAGTCTCATTTTTAAAAGGCCTTGCCAGAAGACCACAACATCTCAATGGCTCCTTTTGGAGCACATGTCCATTGACCATGTTAATTGCTGGATTGGACGAGCATGTGTGTCCATAATCTAAACTCAATCCTAGCAGGCAAGGATGGAGTCAACTGCCCCTGAAGCATATGAATCCAGGGGAGACACAGATGGATGACTTAAAATCTGGCTTTTGCAGTGAAGGATGGGATGATGCTAGTACAGTGACACAACACAACAGTGTTGACTATGAGAGTAAAGGGCAGGGCAGCCTTTTTCTTTTCTGGCTCCCCCATCTCAGCACTCAGGGTATGAATTATTTCCTAGTGACCTGTTTCGTTTTACAAATGTGAACATCAGTGCTCTGAAGTGTCCCACTACATCACTACAGTTTGTTTCAAACTAACAAGTTTCAGGCCGCAAGGAGCTGACAATCAGGTTTTGGAGACAAGTATGAATCTAATAATTGTCTTCTTAAAGGTAGAGAAGAAATTTCAGTAATCATTTTACACATAAATTGAGGACAAGAGATGGATGGTCTTTGCTCAATGTCACTTAGCTAACTGGTATAATAAATGCAAGAGAAGAAACATTACAAGACAAACTGTGACTTAACTGCCAGAGGATGACAAAACCTCCATTTGTGGGCCAGAAAGGACTTTAAACAGATTTGAGCTGACTTATGAACCAACAGACAATGTGAGGAACATTCACTGAACAACTGATTTGTTAAAAGTGGTCTCAAGAATATTAACTGAGGTAGATGGTTGGCAGATAGTTAACAACATTTAAAATTTCCAGCCAAGAAATGTATATTTGAATCTGTGGAAGATGGGAGATATCTAAAGTTTAGAGAATGTTTCTTAAGAATGCCCTGCTATCTCAAAAAAAAAAAAAAAATTAGCCAGGTGTGGTGGCGCATGTCTGTAGTCCCAGCTACACAGGAGGCGGAGGCAGGAGAATCACTTGAACCCAAGAAGCAGAGGTTGCAGTGAGGTGAGATTGCACCACTGCACTCCAGCCTGGACTACAGAGTAAGACTGTCTCAATAAATAAATAAATAAATAAATAAATAAAAGCCCAGGTAGCAATATGCCGAATCACCCTAAGGACCTGAACTGATATACTCTAATCCACTAGGTAACCTTATTTCTGACATGCTTTATTAAAAACACTGAAAATAGGAAGGCTTCAAAAACATACATTGCTTAAGTTACTCTTAAAAATTAAGTATGTTTCCACTGAATTTAAAACGGTGACTCTCTTAATTATATTTACATTTAAAAGAAGTTTCAGATAAGTCAAACCTCTATTTGGTCAATTTACTTCCAGTGTTTTCATTTCTCATGTTTTCATGTTTTAGACACAACCAGTCTGAGTTATAATATCACTAGGAAAATAGGCTTAAAAGTAATGTCACACACACCCAAGTGGGTAGAAGACACAAGCTGATTTCATTACCAGGCAAAATACTGATATTATCACCATTTGTAATTAACGAATCCAAACAAACAATTACTTTAAAAGACAGGAATAGGAATGATGTCAGCAACAGGGCACAATAGAAGCCTCCTGACTGTCCTTCCTCCCACAGACACACTGAGTAAAAACACCTACACATAGATCAGCTCTCTCAAGAGAAAGCCAGAATCCAGCTGAAAAACACCTACACACCATATGACTGAGAAAATATCCACATCAAAACAGGTAGGAAAAGTGGAGATACACCAGCACACTAACCCTACCTTGAGCATGGCACCTTAAAAATGGAAAGGAAACTCCAACTCCTAGCTTCTTCCTGATGGGTGAGGGACTTATACCACATGGTGCTCAACATTTACAGTCCCTGCCTTAGAGTTTGACACTTAAAATTACTTTGCTTGGGAAAGAGGAGGGCACAGCATCGGATTTCCCTCAAGCACAAAGAATAAAGGGGGCTTTTGAACCAACCATACACTCCCAGTCGCTGCAGTCCCCAGGATCAGCTCAGCTCCCAACTTGTTCCTGAAAGGGTTTGAACACACACTTTTCCAGCAGCTCCCTGAGATTCTGGCTTCTGACAAACCTGTACCTGGTAACCTACATAGCAAAATAAAGAATAAACCTCACTTTGGGAGGCTGAGGCAGGAGGCTGAAACCAGGAGTTCAAGACCAGCCTGGGCAACATAGCAAGA